CATTAGAAGTAAAAAAAAATGTATTTTTTGCAAAAAATTTGCGTTTGAAAAATCACTGCACGAGTACTATGTGACATAAAAAATTGCAGTACCCACCATTTTATTCACTAGGGTATCTTCTTTAAAAAAATATATGTTTCGGGGTTCAAAGTAATTTCCTAGCAAAAAATACAGATTTTTTTTTCATGGGAACAAAAAGTGTCAGAAAAGGCTTGGTCTTCAGGTGGTTAGAAGAGTGAATGATGTGTGGCATAAACTTCTAATGTTGTGCATAAAATGCCCCCACCCCCCAAAATGACCCCTTTTTGAAAAGTAGACACCCCAAACTATTTGCGGAGAGGCATGTTGAGTCAATAGAAGAATTTATTTTTTTACCAAAAGTTTTTGGAAAATGACAAAAAAAAATATTTTTTTTAACACAAAATTGCCTCTTAAATGATTTATTGCTCTCACATGCCATATGTGTATATGTGGAATTACTCCCAAAAATACATTCTGCTACTTCTCCCGAGTATGGGGGTACCACATGAGAAACTTTTTGGCAGTCTAGCCAAGTACAGGACCCCAAAATCCAATAAGCACCTTCAGGCTTTTAAAGGGCTTTATTTCCTCATTACACTTCCCGACTACCTATCACAGTTTTTAAGACCCTGAAATGCCAGATAGCACCAAACCCCCCAAATGACCCCTTTTGATAAGAAGCATGGTGAGTATTTAGCAGATCTCGTTTGTTGCCACAAGTTTTTGGAAAATGAACAAAGAAAACAAAAACATATTTTTTTCTTTTTTTTTATATTTCAAAACCTTGTGAGAAAAAATTAGATCTGCAAAATACTCACCATGCCTCTTTTTAAATTCCTTGGGGTTCCAAAAAGGTGTCTGTTGGGGGGCTTTGGTGTTATCCTGGCATTTCATGGCCTCCGAAACTGTAATGGGTAGTGAGGAAGTGAAATTAGGAAGTTACGCACCTTCAGGCTTTCAAAGTGTTCATTGGATTTCAGGCTCCTGTATGTGGCTAGGCTCCCAAAAAGTCTCACACATGTGGTATCCCCATACTAGGTGGAAGTAGCAGAATGTATTTTGGAGTGTTATTCCACATCTACCCATGGACTCAATATGCCTCTCAGCAGATAGCTTAGGGTGTCAACTTTCCGAAAAGGGGTCATTTGGGGGTGTTTGTACTGTCCTCGTATTTTAGCACCTCAAGAAATGTGATGAGCAGTCAGAAAGTAAAAGCTGTGTAAATTCTATTATCCATAGTTTGTAGATGCGATAACTTTCACACAAAGCAATCAATATACACTTTTTTGGATTTTTTTAACCAAAAGCATTTTGCAAAAATGTTTTTTGTTTATAGCGCCAAAAATGAAAAGTGCACGGGTGATCAAATACCACCAAAAGAAAGCTCTATTTGTGTGAAAAAAGGATGTAAATGTGAAACTTTTTAAACTAGTGCAGCTCTGTATAACAAAAAAATGGCGTAAATTGCAGTATCTATACCATAGTTTGTAGACGCTATAATTTTCACACAAAGCAATCAATATACACTTATTGGGATCTTTTTTTACCAAAAACATGTAGCAGAATACATTTTGGCCTAAATTTATGACTAACTTTTGAGTTTACTATATATTTTTTATAGCTGAAAGTAAAAAATATCATATTTCTTCAAAATTTTCAGTAAATAAAAAGCGCACAGGTGATCAAATACCGTAGAAAGAAAGCTCTATTTGTGTGAAAAAAGGACATAAATTTCGTTTGGGTACAGCATTGCATGACCGCGCAAGTATCAGTTGAAATAGTGCAGCGCAGAATAGCAAAAAAGGCCTGGTCAGGAAGAGGGGTAAATCCTCAGGATGGCAAGTGGTTAACTATTGTGACTTTGATGAGGATCAAATCACATTTTTTGGCAAATTAACAACTTGCCTACCGGGCACTTATACCCCCTTCTTTACCAGGCCAATTTTCAGCTTTCAGCGCTATCGCACTTTGATAATTGAGCGGTCATGCAAGATTGTACCCATATGAAATTTTTACCATTTTTTTCTCACAAATAGAGCTTTCTTTTGGTGGTATTTACTCGTCGATGGGTGTTTTTCTTTTTGCGCTATAAACAAAAAAATTGCAAAAAATTTGAAAAAAAAAAAAGGTTTTGTTTCTATTATAAAATTTTGCAAACAGGTAATTTTTCTCCTTCACTGATGTGCGTTGATGAGGCAGCATTGATGGGCACTGATAGGCAGCACTAATGAGGTGGCACGGATAGGCGGCACTGATGATGGGTACTGATAGACAGCACTGATAGGTGGCACTGACTGGCAGCACTGTTAGGCATTGACTGGTGCAACTGCTGGGCACTGATTGGCGGCACTGCTAGGTATTGACTGGCACAACTGCTGGGCACTGACTGGCAGGACTGCTGGGCTGCACTGCTGGGTGGCACTGGTGGGCACAGGTGTGTGGCACTGCTGGGCACAAGTGGGCGGCACTGCTGGGTACCGATCATCAGGGCACTGATCATCAGTGCTGACCCCTGCTCTAACAACTGCCAGTTCTCGGCAGTACTTTCCTCACGATCTGACAGCGTGAGGAAAGTGCAGCCGAGAACTGTCAATTGCATTTCCCTGTGATCAGCATGTCATTGGACATGCCTGATCATGTGGTAAAAGGCCAATGTGATTGGCCTTTTACCAAATCACGTGATCAGCTGTGTCCGTAGGACACAACAATCACGGAGATCGCCGGGTGCATGCCCCTGGGGGAGTGCAGGAGAGCACGTCCTCCCAGAACTGGCTGGCTGCAGTGTAGCCGTCATTCGGCTATCTGCGATCGGCAACTGGTTAATAAAGAAATCCAGTTCATTCTAAGGGGTTCACATACTTTTTGTGCCACTGTATGTCAGATTATCAAAAATAACTATTGTTTGTTTTGCTATTACTGTGCTGGTGTTAAAAATGAGAGTGCATGCTGTGCTTAGAATTCCCTTAAGGCCTCATCCACAACAAACATGTAGAAACTGATGGAAAATGATGCACAGATTTCACTTGCAGAGACGCGGGTTTACATCAGTTTTCATGTGCGTTGTAATGAGTTTTATACACATTGCGGATTCCTGAGCAGAAAAAAAAATCTGCATGTGATACTAGTGTTGTGGTGTGAACAAGGCACATAGAGAACAATTGATTCAGTTGTGCCCTTGCAGAATGTGTGCAGAAAAACTGACATCTCTCCACCATGGTATGAACGAGCCCTAAACCAGAAGTTTGGGGTTGTTAAACAAAAAACTCACAAACATACATCCTCGCCTCCATGCTGCATCATTGGTCTGATGCTGTAGCTGTCCCCTGTGGACTCTAACCCTGAGAACTTAGTGATCACATGACTGCTAATCGCTCAGTTCTTGGTCTGCTCCAAGCAGAGCAGTGACTGTCAGTCTGTTCTACCCCACTGGAGAGCCAGGCAAGAGCAACTGTCTGCAGCTTTCAGCAGCTGATCCGGCATTCGGTGGATCCTGACAATATAGTTACATAGTCTGGCTGAAAAAAGACAAAAGTCCATCCAGTTCAACCATTAAAAAAAAAAAAGTTTTAATCCTACACCCACAGTTGATCCAGAGGAAGGCAAAAAAAAACCCAGCAAAGCACGATCCAATTTGCTTCTGCAGGGGAAAAAATTCCTTCCTGATCCAAGAGGCAATGGGTTTTGGAATCTTCTAGAGCGTGGATTTGTTCTGTGACATTAACCCTTAGAGCAGTGGTTCTCAACCTGGGGGTCGAACAACCCTTTCAAAGGGGTCGCCTAAAACCATCGGAAAACACATATTTCCCATGGTCTTAGGTACCACGACACCGCTCCTCTATCCGTCTCCAGGCCGGTCCGCCCACATGCAGATACGTCCACATACAAGTACCCGGCGTAATGACATCATCGCGCCAACCCCATCACATACACCCTGTACAAATACAGGTGTATGTGACAGGGTTGGCGCCATAATGTACTTATGTGGACCATTCACTTGTGTATAGAGCAGCTACTGTGTTGAAAGCAGCAGTATTGAAGGTAAAACGACACTTCGGTAGCTTACTGTTGTCATATTAAGACTGTTACCCATGCTAAGCCATGCTACAACACAAAATTTCATTTATTTGTAATTAGAAATAAATATTTCACAATATATAATTATTGTTTTTGTGATTAATCACTATGCTTTAATTATGTTCAATTTGTAACAATGAAAATACATCCTGCATCTCAGATATTTACATTATGATTCATAATAGTAGCAAAATTACAGTTATGAAGTGGCAACGAAAATCATTTTATGGTTGGGGGGTCACCACATGAGGAAATGTATTAAAGGGTCACGGCATTAGGAAGGTTGAGAACCACTGCCTTAAAGCAACCCTTCAATGAATGGGTCAGCCTGGATATTACCATCAGGATAATTTCACACTGCTCTGCGGAAAAGATGCAGCAAACACGCATATGCTGGTAGAAGTGAAAGCATGCGTTGCATTTTTCTCACTGGACAAAGCACTTCCTACAGGTGCGTTGCATTTTTGCTGCAGTTTCCATTCATTTTTAACTGAACAAACCTGCACCTAAAATGCTGCGAGCATGATTTTTGTCGCTCCAACTGAAGAACATCAGATCAATGTGAAGAGCGCCATGGGATTTAAAGGGATGCAGTTTTCTTCCGCTTTTTTAAACTGAAAAAACGGACCAATGGCGGATCACTTGACAGCAGCCCTATCCTTCCCCATACGCATGGCTTCAGAAGACCCCGGATGACAGGAACACGGAGGCAGCTCTACACCAGACGGGCACCGACAATGTATTCTCTTATGACGTGGGCGGGGAATTCTCCCATCGTGCTGCCCACAGACACCAAACTTCAGCTCCAACCTGTCCCACCATCTGATTGGTAGCTGAGGACAAGCCATAGAGACTCTCCTACAGTCGGGGCATCCATCCAGCCCAGGCCGCGCCCCCTAGATCACATGGGCGTGACGTCACTCTCCCTCGGATCTCCGCATTCTGTAGCGTCTACCATGGTAATGGCGGAAGGCACCGCTGTATTGAGAAGAAATAGGCCGGGCACCAAAGCTCAGGTAATGTCTCCCGACAGCGGGCGAAGTACACGGCTCAGTGCGGCATAGGAATGCTCAGTCCGCCGCCTATAGAGATGGGTGAGAACACATAACCCGCAGTGTGGAGCGAGCTGTATCGGTGTGCGTCTCCCGCACGGGGTTTATGTGGTGTGTGAGGGGGTGACAGAGGGGTGTACTCCCCGACGGGGATGGGTGGCTGTGCTCAGCTGTGGGAATGGGTTTGTCGTTCAGGACATTGCTCTGCCACTTCCACCAGCTGCGTGCTCGCTCTCGTACTGGCCGTGCGCGCTCCCCCTACCAGTAGTGAGCTGACAGCTGAACATCCTGTAGACCTGGCAGTTGCCAGTCTATGTCATGTCAATGGGTGGGGGTTCAGGAGCAGGCATTCCATTTTACACCCCCAATAAAGAAGACCTGTACTGTGGAAGATGGACGCAATCAGGCAGAGCTCAGAGGGCTGCTCACTGCACATGAGCTGTTTGCCCATCACTGACCAGCCATGCCTTGTTCTTCACTGTGTGAAGGTGGCCATCTTGGTAGACGCAGGGATTTTCCTCCTCATGTCAGAGCTTTTTCTCTGATGGCTGATCAAGAAGCACTGAATGGATAAGGGGGAAGCAGGGAGATACTTGCACTGCAGGTCCTCGGGTACAGCTTCACCTCCAGCTGCCAGAACAGTGAGCATCACCAGATCTCACAAGACTAGCAGCCAGAGCCTAAGTTGATCTCAAAGCAGACCTTTACCCAAAAATCAAAGCAGCTTTCATCCTCTTCCTCCCCTAACCTCTAATTTGCATCTTTCTTAGGGGGAAGGGGGTGGGGAAGTGGGTACTTTTTTTGGACAGGTAGCCACCCCCATTTTCTCTATCCTCCTCTAAGTAAGAACAACCCACGCACACGCCCCGCCCCAAGAGGCTGCAGGACTAATCTCACTGTAATTTTGTGCTTTGCATATGCACAAATGGGAGCACTAGTCATGCAGCTGCTTAACTCAGCTGGACAGGAAAGATCCATGTACTTAATGCTGTATTAAATCCAAAAATGTTATATACAGTTGTGCTCAAAAGTTTGCATACCCTGGCAGAAATTGTGAAATTTTGGCATTGATATTGAAAATATGACTGATCATGCCAAAAAATGCTCTTTTATTGAAGGATGATGATCATATGAAGCCATTTATTATCAAATAGTTGTTTGGCTCCTTTTTAAATCATAATAATAACAGAAATCACCCAAATGGCCACGATCAAAAGTTTACACACCCTGGAATGTTTGGCCTTGGTACAGACACACAAGGTGACACACACAGGTTAAAATGCCAATTAGAGGTTAATGTCCCACATCTGTGGCTTTTTAAATTGCAATTAGTGTCAGTGTATAAATAGTCAATGAGTTTGTTAGCTCTTACATGGAAGCACTGACTAGGCTAGATACTGAGCCATGGGGATCAGAAAAGAGCTGTCAAAAGTCCTGCGTAACAACGTAATGGAACTTTATAAAGATGGAAAAGGACATAAAAAGATGTCCAAAGCCTTTAATATGCCAATCAGTACTGTTAAATCACCTATTAAAAAGTGGAAAGCTCTGGGATCTCTTAATACCAATCAAGGTCAGGTAGAAGTCCGTGAATGAATGATGCGACCGTGTGAGCAGAGCCCCGCACGGCTGTGCTGTTTTCAAATTTGATAGTACGCGTAGACTTCTTCCTGTACTGTCAGAGAGAGAGAGAGGGGGGGGGGAGTGGGAGGCGGTCTGCGGCTATGGGAACATGTTACATGTTCCACCCTAAAAACATGTTTCCAATGGTGAACTTACCCTTTAAGGACTTGGCGGCCCTGCTCCTCAACCACTTCAGCTCTCACACCTGTTCACCGCTTATGGACCAGAGCAATTTTTACATTTCTGCTATGGACCTGTTTATTTGCTAAAAACTTTGTCATTACCAAAGTTATACATATATTGTTTTTTTTTTTTAAGGACAGGCAAGGCTTGTAACAATGATATTTTTTAGACAATTAAAGTAACTGTAAAGGCTCAAGGTTTTTTTTTACCTTCATGCATTCTATGCATGAAGGTAAAAAACCCTCTGTGCAGCAGCCCCCCAACCCCCCCTTAATACTCACCTAAGCCCCCTCTCGATCCAGTGATGTGCACTGGTGTCTTGGCAATCCCAGGACTCCCTCTCTCTCATTGGCTGAGACAGCAGCGGGAGCCATTTGCTCCCACTGCTGTCAGTCACAGTCAGTGAGCCAATGAGAAGAGGAGGGGCCAGGAGTGGTGGTGGGGGACACGAGAAGAAGAGGATCTGGGCTGCTGTGTGCAAAACCACTGCACACAACAGGTAAGCATAGACATGTTTGCTATTTTTTTTAAATGTAAGCCCATAATGTCACTTTAAATTTAGCAAACTAAAAAACACACTTTTTTTTTTTATTTTTTTTTTTATTTTAGTAGTGTTTAAAAATAGTGTTACTGCACATAAAAAGGTGTGCATTTTATTCTGTAAACTGTTCTGTTTAAACTGACACTAAAATTATGATTCTGGTACAAAGCAATGAAAAGTTATTTACAAATGAAATATATAAATTTTTTTCAATGTGAAATGTAAATATACGTAAAGGGTGTAAAAATGTTAACAAAGCAAACAAAAACAAGTTTTATGAATAATTTATAAAATAGAAATGGACAAAAAAAATCAGCAGGAAAATTTAATAAATAAATGGAGGAGTATAAGGAGTTAGGGCTTATTAGAGTAAATTAAGGGCTAATAAGGGGTTAACAGAGGAACATTAAATTAAAAAAAAAAAAATTTTTTTACTTGACAGTTTGCCTTTAACTGACTTCATCTGCAGATCAAAGTTCATTTCTCTGATCTGTAGATGAATAAACAGATACAAAATTAAACAATGTTTGTTTTTATCCTTCTTTTTTTCAGCCCTGGTTCACGCTGATGTGGTCCAGAATTTGCAGCATTTTCAGTGCGAATTGTGCACCGCATCAGAATCGCACCCCGTTCATGCGAACCACTGCAGGTGTAAATGTTAATTTAACAAGACCCTGAAATCGGTCCGCAAAACGCGGTGCGATGTGCAGAATAAGATCACATAGGTGTGAATACCGATTCTAGTGCGGACCAAAAAAAAGGGTCCTACACGTTTTTGGTGCTGGTGCAATTAGAGCCATACAAAATGTACAACTCTGATCGCACCACACACAAATTGCATGTGAATGCGGTGCGGTTCCTGCCCGAATCACATGCGATATACCACACCGCATATATGTGAACCCAGGCTTAGGGGCTGAGCAATGTTGTTGATAAACATGTCAGGCTGCTTTTTTTTGTTTTTTGTTGTTTTTTTTTTTTATGGCTGTATTTGCATTTACACTTCAGCTGTCAGCAGGGGAACCCCACTGATAGTGAATGAGTCATCGGTTGTTAAAGATGTTGCAGCCCCACTCCTTATCAACCGGTAATTGCTAGCTTTTTTTTAATTTACATTTCAGCTGTCAGCGGGGGAATCTGAAAGAAAGAACCTAGCCTGACGGTATCTGTTTCCGGTATCGGAGCATTTGCACTAATATTGATACTTGTGAAAATGCTTTGTATTGATGCAACCCTAGTGGTGTCTACAATGTCTTTGCAGCTTGGTAACCGCTCATACCTCTGGGTTGCAGGGAGGCAGTTAGAGGTACTGAGAATATAGACCGGATCAGTAGATGAGGAAACTCCTGTGCTCCATGTCATGAGAAAATCAGAGGCTGTCATTGCTGGGCTACAGTAGTTGCCTGGATGCATTTTCCTTGGTGATTTCTGTGACACTTATCTGTAAAAGAACTATAAGGAATTCTGATATTTTCAGCATGTGTTCTCCAGGTCTTTGACTGAAAAGCGTCTGATGCCATACACAGCCGTGCAGAGGAATAATGTCCTTACAGGATGTCCCCAACTTACAAGCCAACTTCAGTGTACTGTTTAATTGGGCAACTATGTGGCAAATGAGGTTTAATATTGATAAATGTAAGGTTATACACTTGGGGGCTAAGAATATGCATGCATCATACATACTAGGGGGAGTACAACTGGGGGAATCAATGGTGGAGAAGGATCTGGGAGTTCTGGTAGATCACAAGCTTAATAATGGCATGCAATGCCAAGCTGCGGTTTCTAAAGCAAGCAAAATCCTCTCTTGTATTAAAAGAGGTATAGACTCCAAACAGAGAGACATATCATATTACCCCTGTACAAATCGTTTTTCTTTGTTTTCTGTTATAAAAGTTTGCAAATAAATAATTGTTCTTCATAAAATTTAGGCCGAGATGTATTCTACTACAGGTCTTTGAAAATAACCCAAATTAGGATGTATTTTTTAGTTTGTTGGAAAGTTATAGAGTTCACAAACTATGGTATAGATCTGAATATTGATCAATCCTGAAGTACTGACAGCCAATCTAATTTCTTGAGGTCCAAGAATGTCAGAACAGTACAGATATCCCCCAAATGACCCCTTTTTGCAAAGTAGACAGTCCGACGTACTTCATAAGAGGCATGGCGAGTTTTTTGAAGTTGTATTTTTTTTTGTCATTTTTTGGAAAATTAAAAAAAGTTTCACTATTTTTTTTTTTTTTTTTCTTACATACTGTCACCAGTGCAGTACAGCGTCATCATATAACTGTCATGGCTGTGAACAGGGACACTGACTGGTGACAGTATGGAAAAAAAAAAAAAAAAAAAATTATATTTATATATATATATATATATATATATATATATATATATATATATATATATATTTATTTATTTATTTTTTATTACATTTTGTTTCTTCTTTTTTTTTTTTTAAGATTTTTTTTTTTTTTATATTTCACTATGTCCAAAGTAGTACAATGTTACCATAGTAACATTGTACTACTTTGGGGAAGTGATCAGTATTTTTTTTTTTTTTTTTTTTACACAATTTGCTTATAGCAAAGAATTACTTTGCTATAAGCAAGCATTTACCTAAATGACATCGATTCAGTCAGGGTTTTTTTTTTTTTTTTTTTTTTGCTTAGCTGTGATTTGGTCACAGCTAATCACATGAAATGTGCATGTGATCGCTGTGACCATTCACAGCTAGACACTAGTATACAATGGATGGCATGAATGAAGCCATCCATTGTATACATCTGTCATGTGACCTGCTGTGATTGGTACCGGCAACGGGGGCCGGTACTCAGATCTGTCATCGGCCGTGTCCGAGGTACACGGCCGGTGACAGATCGCGCCGCTGCATGGCTCTGCAAGCGCGAAAACTGCGCATGTGCGGGAGGACGCCATATGGCGTCCACCCCGGAAATCTACAGCCTTTTCCCGGCCGCCAAACGGCTATTGGCCGAGTGAATAATATTGATTATCTCATTAAAATGGCATCTGATAGTCAGTGAGATATATTAGGCAGCAAGTGAACATGTTTTTACACAGTTGCTGTGTTGAAAGCAGAAAAAAAATGGATGTCGCAGTTTGTTGTGTATTGGGCTATAGCCCAAAATAGCTGCAGATGGGTCAGGGTGCCCATGCTGTCTTGTGGCCACAGCCAAAAGCACCTACAATGGGTATGTGAGCATCAGAACTGGACCACACAGCAATTGAGGAAGGTGGCCTGGTCTGATGAATCATATTTTCTTGTATATTATGTGGATAGCCGGTTGTGTATGTGTCGCTTATGTGGGGAAGAGATGGCACCAAGATGCAGTATGGGAAGAAGACAAAGCAGCAGAGGCAGTGTGGTGCTTTGGGCAATGTTCTGCTGGGAAACCTTGGGTCCTGTCATTCATGTGGCTGTTACCCAAAATGTGCCACCTACCTAAACATTGTTGGTGACCAAGTATACCTCTTCATGGGAACAGTATTTCCCGATGGCAGTGACCTCTTTTTGCACCCTGCCACACTGCAAAAATGGTTCAAGAATGGTTTGAGGAACACAGCAAGAACGTTTTAACTTGGCCCTATTTTACAGGTCTCAGTCAAACATAGCATCTGTGGGATGTGCTGGAAAAACAATTCTGTTCCATGGATGCCCTACCTCACAACTTGCATAACTTAAAGGGTCTCCTACTGATAGCCTGGTGGCAGATACCAAAGCATACCTTCAGAGCTCTAGTGGCATCTATGCCTCGATGGGTCAAGGCTATTTTGGTGGTAAATGGTAGGGACCTACTTAATATTACAGGGGTGTGGAAATTTTTGAGAAAACAACTTGTCCAGGGACTAAATCGGTGCCCCAATCTACTTGTCCCTCATGATAATCTATTTGTCGTGATAAAAAAAAAAAAAGAAATTTTAACCAAAACCATATTTAAATCTGAGGTGCTGTTAGGAATGTCTGGGGCTTGTAAAAACAAAAGGGGCTTTATGGCGACTTAAACATTTAATATTTTTATTACATTGTGCTGTATATCTCCTCCTTACCTCCCTGCTTGTCTCCAGCACCGCACCCAGGGGACTAGCAGGAGGGAGGAAACCTTGCAGTGTAACGAGCGCCGATTGGCTGCTCATTAGAGAAGGGGAGTGTCTGGCTTATCCTTTATCCCTTTTGCTGCCAGAGCTGTTTTTGCACACGTTTAAAAAAATAATTTAAGGCCTGAAGATTACACAAAACTCCAAAACATGATATATTTTATGAAAGCAGAGACCCTAGAAAATTAGCGGTAGTTCCAATTTTGTATGTCACGCAATATTAACACAGAGGTGTAGAAAAAATGCAAAATTTCAGTAAAAAACACACTTAAGTTAATTTTATGGCACAAAAAGCAATAAATTATCCAATTTTTTGTAAAATATAAAAGACCAGATTGCATCAAGTAAATAGATATCCAACATGTTAAACCTTAAACTTGTATGCACTTGTGAAATGGCAACAAAAATTTAGTACCCTATATTTTCTATAGGTGATGCTTTTAAAGCCCTTTTTAGGTCATTAGTTTAGTGTTACAGAGGGGGTCTGGTGCTAGTCATTCTGGCATACACTGCGATATGTAATGTGTATCGCAATCAATGTTTTCATGTGTAGGCGCCCCAGCGAGTGCTTTTATGTTTGTACGTGTGTATATGTGGGGGTGGGGGGGCCTTGAAAAATTTGGGGGGGGGGGGGGGGTATATGCTTGAGTGTAACTTTCATTTTTTAAAAATAAAAAAAGTTACTTAACTTTTTTTTTAATCACATAGGGACACAAAGTTCAAAAAATGATATTTGGTGACAAGTTCTCTTTTTGGAGACCTCCAGGGTCTGAAAGACCCTACATGTCTCCTCTGTACTACACTGAATGCAATGCAGTCCACATTGTACCCCATTACATTCTTTCCCAGCCTCAGTGGATGGGAATCTGTCAATGGGGATCCGGAAGTGACATCACAGCACTTCCGGGTCAGGACAAGAAGGGGAGGAGAGCGGATGTGTCCGCTCGCCTCCTTCCCCTAAACCAGCATCCCGGCATACCTCCGGAACCCATGGAACCAGTTCCGGGTCCGCAGATGGGCAAGTGGAGCCCGGGATATATAACGGGTGGGGGGGGGGGGCTGGCACTGTGTGGAAACAATCGGGCTGCAGTTCTGCCATCCAAATGCTTCAACCTGACTGGTGCTTGCCTGCAGCAAGGCTAAAGGTAAATAAAAACTGCCTGCCCGGTTCCCGGAACTACATGTCCCAGGAGTCGGGTGATATAAAATGAACATTCCTGTATTAGGCTACGTTCACACTAGCGCTGTGTGCAGGCGGCAGAGAGGCGTTTGGGAAGCGTTTTTACCGCTTCCCAAACGCCTCTGCCAATTCTGCACATTACAGCACATGGTGCTGTTCTAACGGGAGCAATTGCGTCGCGGCGCATCGCGGCAAAACGGACGCCTCTGGATGAGTCAGAAGGCGTTGAAGCCTCCTATTCTCGTCTATGGTGCCGCTCTGCAAACGCCCGGCCAGCGTTTGCGGTGCGGTTGTGACGCGGTTGCGGGGCGTTTACGGAGTGGTAACACCACTCAAACTGCATTATAGGCGTTTGTGGGGCGTTATTAACGCTCGGCAAATGCCTAGCAACCGCCGCTAAACCGCGCATGCAGCGTTTGCCGAGCGTTAAAAAACGCTCTGCAAACGCCGGACCAACGCTTGCCAAACGCTATAGGGGCGTTTGGCAAGCGTTGGCAAAACAGCCAAGTGTGAACGAGCCCTTAGGTGGGTGGTCATAATATTATGGCTGATCGTTGCCATAAACTCGGCACAGGGTCAGATTAAATCTGAACTGTAGTCAGATACAAAAGATGCAAATTAATGTAGCTCAGTATTTGAAAACACATTACATTTATTTTTGATATGTAAACAGTGCATGTACCTAATGCCCTCCATTCTAGATTGTAAACTCCAAGGAGCAGGGCCCTCAAATCCCTCTTGTATTGAACTGTATTGTTGCTGCTGTATTGTCTCCTGTTATATTGTAAAGCGCTGAGCAAATTGTTGGCGCTATATAAATCCTGTATAATAATAATAATTTGACCTGGTATCAGCCTCGTAGGAGGAAAACACTGTGCAAAGGGCTAATAAATTGTGGTGTAGTGCTCATGTGCTAACAAGAAACATGCTAGTTGGAGAAGAGCAGAGTGACAGAGGGATGAGCTCATCCATTCACCTGGTGTACCTGCTGATTGCCTTAGCTATAGGCCCAGGGTAATTTGTGGTTTATCATTGTTGTGCCATCAAGTGTTTCTCTTGTATTAGTGTACAGGACAAGGTACTGATGTCTAGCAGTTTGCCTGTGATTATACATTATACAAACATGGCTCCTGGTTCACAACCTAGCTATTCAGAATATGGTATGCAAGGAGTATATAGGCATGTTAGGGTTCGTTCACACTTGCCTTTTTACCAACTCTTGCCAAACACCCTATAGCGTTTGGCAAGCGTCGGTCCGGCGTTTGCGGAGCGTTTTTTAACGCCGAGTGTTAAAAATGCCCTACAAACGCCTATAATTAAGTTTGAATGGTGTTACCGCTCCGCAAACGCCCCGCAACCGCACTGCAAACGCCGGCCGGGCATTTGCGGAGCAGCACCATAGACTAGAATAGGAGGCTTCGATGCCTCCTGACTCGACCAGAGGCATCCGTTTTGCCGCGATGCTAACACTCCCGTTAGAACAGCACCATGTGCTGCAATGTGCAGAATTGTCCGAGGCGGTAAAAACGCTTCCCAAACGCCTCTCAGCCGCCTACACACAACGCTAGTGTGAACGTAGCTTTAGTCATCCCTGTAGCTTCACCTAAAGCAGTAGAATGCTTCCCATTCTCCAAGGAGCGATATGGGAAAAATGTTATTTCGAGTCACTGCCTCTGTTCCATGAAGATTTTGTGAAAGAGTGGAACTAAGCTGTTACATAACCAGCAAAAAAAAAAAAACACAGAGAAAAGGGTATTTAGTGAGGTTTTAAAGAACTATAGCAAGAATTTTTGTCCTTACAATGTTGATATGCAGCTATTTATGTATAAAGACTGGGAGTCATAACAGATACCTTTAACTCCAGGCACAGACATTTTTATAAATATTCTGTTCAGGTGTTCAATCTGCATATTGCTTCTCTTTACTCTACAATTCATAGATTTGTAAAGCTGAGGTGGGGGGTTGTCTGGACCATGATCATTACATCCTGATGTGACTTCTTACTGCTAATCTTTGCGACACCTTTTAACTCCATCCCCCACAACTGTGTAAATATAATGAATATAGACCTCCATTTAAAAAGGCTGGCTGATATAGAATAGAAAGGTCCTGCCAGTACATTGTCAATGAATTGTAAAAAAGCAAGCAGGGGATTAAATCTGCTAAAACCCAAAACTGTCAATGAGGTTATCTGTGTTGGGTGGAGTTGACATTCATGCTGAAATTGTTTTAACTGTTATGAAATGGGGTGTATGCCTTCTACAATTTTCATTATCTATTGTTTTCTAACAGGATTTTTACAACTGGCCTGATGAATCCTTCGAAGAGATGGACAGTACTTTGGCTGTACAGCAGGTGATATGAAAACTCATGTAGGGGTACGTGCACATAGTGTATGTGCCTGTGGCTTTGCTTGGGTGTTATTTTTGTAAGAAGCCTAAAAAAGCAAAGCCACAAGTAAATACGCTGCTGCTCAGGACCCAAAACTGTATAATGTTCTATTGATAGCTGATTGTGCTGTTGTTACCTGGAATCGTGTGATGTTGTTATCATTAAGAAGCAGTGTATATAGTCTGTTAATTATGTTCAAAATAAAATGTGTAGGCTGGCAGATTTGCAATAAGAGGGGAACAAATACAATTCTTGCTCTCCAGAATAGTAGCCAGAAGCATTTTTGCTTCAAACATACTATCTTCCAACCATATACTTGGCATGTATTCAGGTTATGTGATGAGGAAGGGGCAGAGCCCCAAAATAAACAGCTGCACTGCTGAATTCTGAACACAGGAGGATGGCAGCTCGGCATGTGTGCAATTTGACTTTGGATGATGTGGAGAGTGTGAGGTTACCATCCCACCTCTCCACTTCATCCAAAGAGTGAATGTTTTTATCATTTATTGAGAAAATGCGCACAGCATTCTCTGAATGACACTTGTGCCAAGTGGCCAACCTCCTGTGTTCATAATGCAGCAGGGCAGCCAATCAGCAGTGCCTACTTCAGTGATTTCTATCTTCTAGGGATCCCACAGATATGGTACTGTATATGCATAGTTACATTGGTCCAGCCTGGACCAATGTAGCTATATATAAAATGAAATACCTTAAATTCTTTAATTTTTCTCCATTACAATAATTCCCCCCCAAGTTCTTCATTTTGTTGTGCTTGCCCTACATATTTTTTTTGAATGTTGCCATTAGTGATCTCTATAAGCATGGGACTGCTATGTAAATAAGCGAATAGGTTGCTGTACTTGTTTGTAAATTGCATTGTACCATATAACAACCTCATTATATAAATATATTTAGTAGTTCTCACGGCACCTGAATCCTAGTAAATTACTTAGTACCAGTGGGTTTTTGTTTTCCCTTAAAGTGGAAATAAACTTAACTTGTAAAATACAGCAAGCAGACATTCTTTGTCTCTTTTGGAGTAACACATACTTAACTTGCTCTCAGTGTTTTATTGAATGTACATACATTCCCGGTATGCTGTGGCTGTGCCAAAGTGACTAACTCCCATGCGAATGTGTGGGATGATATTGGCCACACTGGTCAATCAAGAGGCTGAAAGCCTGACACCTGGAAGTAGCCAGGGAAAAGATGACAGCGGCCAGCAAGGGATGTGATACATTTAAACTGTCACCATAGCTTTTACATTTACATTGTGACATAATTAAGTAGTTCGAAAATAAACTTCCTTCAATCATGTCACACCTTTCACATCTATGAGTTTTGGTCTAGTGAATTGCAAAACATAAATTCCTGGGAAACTTTAGGAAATCCCCAATAATTCCCAGTGACATGGATTCTCAAATTCTAATGTCAATTAGAATTGGTGACAGGTAGAGTGTAAGCGGCTTTGTGCCTTACAAAAGGTTGTTTTGTTTTTTTTTAAAAGCAGCATTTTAAGGTCATGCTGTTGCTTTATTAAATGGACCCATAATGTATTTATCTCAATAGCCATTAAGACCAGGTTCACACTATAGCAATAATGTCCATTACATGTGTTGGTGTGCTGCACTGCCATTTATTTTAAATGGTAATATGTTGCATACTTAAATAAGGGTGTGGTTTTTAACTATGCCAGGGTGCAGAGGCAGCCAGTTCAAAATGAATGAAGTGCACATTAAGGCACAAAGCAACACGTGTTACCTTGGAAAAAAGCAATCCCTGCCTAAAGTGTAATTCAGAATGCATACAGGGAGCACTTCCTACCTGTTCAAAAACTTTACTTTTTATTCAATCGTTGCGGTAGTGCACCAGGGCCTTTTTTCCTTTTTCTGTTAGCACAGCGGTCTGGATACATATTAGAAAGCATTGCTAGCTTGTAAAATAAAAACATTATGCATATAGTTTCTATTATAAAATTTTTCAAACAGGTAATTTTTCTTCACTGATGTGCGTTGTTGAGATGGCACCAGTGGGCATTGCTGAAGAGGCACTGATAGCTGGCACTGATGGGCAGTAATTGGCAGCACTTACTGGTGGCACTGCTGGGCACAGATTGGCAGTACTGCTGGGCACTGATTCCAATTGATAGGCAGCACTGATGGGCAATTTTGGGGCTGCACTGATAAGCAGTGCCCTGATTATCAGTGTAGATGTCTCACACACTTGCCGGTTATTGGCAGTACTTTCCTCACACTGTGACTGCCTGAGGAAAGTGTTGCCGATAACCGTCAATTGTGTTTACATCTTTAATAGCTGTGATTGGGTATGTGGTAAAAGGCTGCTGTGATTGGCCCTTTACCGTGACATTTGATCAGCTGTGTCCAAAAGAGCAGTTCTGTCATATGAGGATGTCATATGACAGAACTGAATGGCCGTGCTGTAGCAGTCATTCAGCTATAGCACAGTCAACAAGTGGTTAAAGTGATACTAAAGCTAAAAACATGTTTTTTATTTCTCTGCCCTTTGGGGGAAGAGGGGGGAGAACAGACCCAGAACTGTGCACGGCTGCATTTCTTCTTCCCACTTTTATTCGTCACACAGCACTTGAGCAGCGCAGCAGCAGGAGCTGCTGGCTAAGGCCTGCTTTATGTATCTATGGAGCGTGGCTCCAGAGACACAAAGCTCTGGAGTGCCCAGACACTGTGTGCCTCCATAGCAAACGGCTTGCTATGGGGACACACGATAAAGAAGAGCCAAGGTCGCCGGTGAGGGACCCAAGAAGAGGAGGATCTGAGACGCTCTGTGCAATAACACTGCACAGAGCAGGTGAGTATACCATGTTTTTTTATTTTTAAAAAAATGACTTTAGTAACACTTTAAATATGATTGAAAAAGCAATGATGTGCCGCTTTGGTTTAAAGGAACGCATGACAAACCCTCTGACCAAGCTGTTTCCACACAGGGAAAAAAAGTTTCATGATCCCCCTCCTCTTTTTTCCCCCAGGGGAAGTAGGATCAATTTCCCTAGATTGAAGTATTGCCGTTTAGGCCTTTAACTCTAATTTTGAATATTATTAGCTTGAAATAATATTCCTGTACTGTTTTAGTACCATTATTTTTGTCATTACTATTTTAGCCTTTGGCTATAATTTTGGATATTATTAAAGTGTTACTAAGCCCACAGCTGTTAAATCAGTCTATATATGCAGTAAAGCATGCTTGTTACACTCACTGTGGAACCTAAGGGGTTAATCCTCTGCATTGTGTAAAAATACTGTTTGATCCTGACTTCTCTGATACTCCCCTTCTTCCAGTGTTCCCCTCTTATCTCCTTTTAAAACATATCATGTGGAGACACTATACACATGCTCGGTTTGGTGTGTATTGCTAGAGAGGTTTTTTTTTTTTCTTGGGAGAGTGCATGTGATCAGCACAGGGTCAATCAGCACTGTCCAGACCGAGGTCAGGGGTTCTGCTTCCTCCTAGAGCAGAAAGAAAACTCCTCCTACAAGCTTTAACCAGTGCTCTGCTGAACACTGATAGAAGTCACAAGACTGCTCTAACGGCTGATGAGAAAAGGTATCTAGCAGTTGATATTTACTAAAATAATTGCATTTCTGTGTACAGTGGGAGACCAGATCTAGTGAATGCAGGGTCCTGGGTTTAGTAACACATTAAGATGAAAAATGATCCAGACTTGTTTTTAACTGCTTCCCAAACTACTGCTACAGGGTGTCAGAGCTGTGCAGGATCGCGTATATACACGTGATTTCGCATTTCTGGGTAAGGGGCACGCGTGACGCCCTACCTGTGCTACCATTGGCTACAGCTGTTGATCACCGGGTACCAGCTGGAGATTCCCTGGCGGCATGCGGTGGTTGCTGAAGAGCACTGATGAGGAGAGGTCTGTATGTAAACAATACAGATCTCTCCCCTGTCAGCACCAGCATGCTGCTTTGTATTGCTCTGCATAGCAGCAGAGCAATACAAAGCAGCATGCTTACATAGTAAAACACACACGCAGTACAATTAGTAAAACAGCACACAGTTAACCCTTTCTTCGCACCAGATGTTAACCTTTTCCTGCCCAGTGTCATTAGTACAGTGTCAGTGCTTTTTATTGGCGCTGTTCACTTTATTAGTGTCACTGGGGATGTCACTGGCAGTTAGTTCCCCCCAGTGTTAGAATGATCTCCGCAGTCCCGCTATAAGTCGCTGATTGCTGCCATTACTAATATAAAATAATCCAGTATATATACCGCCATTTTTAGACTCTATAACTTTCACGTAAACCAGTTAGTTTACACGTACTGGGATTTTTTTTTTAGCAAAGACATGTAGCAGAATATGGCCTATTTTTGTCCAAAATGTTGGCCTAAATTTTACGACAAAATGTGTTTTTTGTTTTTTGTTTTTTTTTCTTCTCTTTTTAAATTTTACCAGATATGTTTTATAGCAAAAAGTAAAAAATATTGTTTTGGTTTTCTTTTTCAAAATTGTCGGTCTTTTTTTGTTTATAGCGCAAAAAAAAAAAAAACACAGAGGCAATCAAATTCCAACGAAAGAGAGCTCCATTTGGGTGCAGTGTTGCATGACCGTGCAATTGTCAGTTAAAGTAGGGCAGCTTCGTATCGCAAAAAATGGCTTGGTCAGGAAGGGGGGGGGGGGGGGGGGGGGTATATCCTCTGGAGGGCAAGTGGTTAATTCCATTATTGTTTGTTACATTCCACAACTTAACCCCTCTAAAGCTGGGTACACACACACTGTCCGAAGATAAGCTGGTTCAGTAGGAACTGAACAACTTTTGGTCAGCGTGTACAGCAGTCTGTTTGACAAGCCGGTCTGACAACCAGCTTTTGTCAAAGGGACATGCTGGAAAACCAGCAGCCAATAAGCCAATGGCTGCAAGCACTGAAAAATGTATTCTGGCAAAGGGGAGACCCCCTGTCAGAGTACAATAGCACAGCAGGGGAGACAGGACAGCACCCACATCGATTATGCTAGTACACATATCTGTCCCATTTTTTTTTTTTTTTAACCCGCCGGGTTAAACGAAGCAAAGAAAAAAAAATTACAGTGTGTACCGGGCTTTAGAGTTCATGCACACAGTGCTTTTGCAGGCATTTTATAGGTTTATAGTGTAATTTCCCTGTGCTTTCTTGCTCCCAGGGAGTCGCATGTGTCACGCACTGCTTGTCTTACAAGTAAACGGCTGTATGTGGCCATGCTCTTATAAACACTGATGCTTCTTTGCATCAGTATTTACCCACCCATGCGCATCTGACTTATTTTCTGAACTGTGAACTAAACATGTGACTACATGCTTTGCCTACTTAGCTCACATCTTCAGTTTTGCTATGCTGGAAAACAATCTAACTTCAGAACTGCTGTAAAACAAAAAAAAATGCCCTGTTTTTTTTTTTATTGGGTCAGATTAGATCTATACTCCTCTGATAGAAAGGGAGACCACTGAACATAATGTGTCTTTCTCATTACTGGATAATTTCACTTGGGTCATTGCTCCATTGCATGATACAGCCATCCATAGGAGTACAGTAGTGAAATTGTCCTCTAAATTACATAGTATTATTTAATAGACTGCAAGATCATTTAATGACACAAACATAACATCCAAGCCTGTGAGCTGCCCCCTTTTTTCCTTTTTCTCAGACCTAACATGCAGTCAAAGTATTCTCTACCAACCCAATTTCTAGAAAAAAAAAGCACACCTCCCTTTTATGAATTGCATATAGGCGCTATCTGCATTTTTCTTTACAAGTCCCTTTACATGTTTTTACCTTGTATAATAATTTTCTTGGTGTACTCTATTTTTAAGTGCCAAACCTTTGTACAAAAAGCAGATCATAAAGTAGTGTTGTTATGTTAATTTTTTAAAATATCTATTTGCAGTACATCCAGCAGAACATACGAACTGATTGTTCAAACATTGATCGAATTTTAGAGCCCCAGAAGGCCAAGATGAAGGAGTGTGGAAGTATGAACATCTTCGGTATGTGGTCATGAATTGTTCTGTGAAAGCTGACATTCATATGCCTTTTATGAAAACCCGTAAATTTTGTATTTAGTGCAAGACAAGATTTATGGAAGCAACAATTCACTGCAGTTTTGAAACTGGTAGTGCTTGGTTAATTTATTTGGGCAGTAACTGTTATTCTGTCAGTGGCTTGCCTATACTAGGATTTTGTTCTGCCAAATCGCTGTAATTGTACACTTCTTGGTAATTGAAACTCCTAAACTGACTTCAGGACAACATACAGTACATTAAAGTGTTACTAAACCCACAACAGTAAAATCAGTCTGTATATGCAGTAAAGCATGCTTGTTACACTCACTGTGGAACCTAAGGGGTTAATCCTCTGAATTGTGTAAAAAGGCTGTTTGATCCTGACTTCTCTGATCCTCCCCTTCTTCCAGTGCCCCCCTCTTATCTCCTGATAAGACATATCATGTGGAGACGCTATGCATATGCTCAGTTTGGTGTGTACTGCAATATACTCTAAACAAAAAACAATAGTGATGTATAAAAGTTAAACTTGTGATGTAAACAAGCATATTCTCTGCAATGTTCATATACTCAAATAAAAATTAAACATGATTCAATAAAGTGTCCTTTGTTCAAATTATTCACAGTATAATGCACAATGCCTTCAAACTTAGTAAAGTGTTTGTGCTCAAAAAAGTGCTCCATTTCCAACAATCAGTGCCAAACTGTTCCTGAAATCCACAGATCTGGCTCTAGACTCTTTCACCACCACCTTCTCCTGTATTAAGCACTCCGGTATCGCTGTGTGGGGTGACGCTGTGTGGAGACCTCTTGAGAACGTCAGGAAGAATAAATGCCGCGTCGGGGGCATAGCAGGAAAGTACGTCATCCCACACAGCGATACCGGAAGTGGTTAATACAGGAGAAGGTGGCGGTGAGAGCCTAGAGCCAGATCTATGTTATCCCTATGCTTATGATGTAACATGCGTTTTTATCCTGGTGTGCACATAACAATGTGAGTGGGCATTGTGGAAATGGTTTTTAAGAGAGAAAAGGTTTTAAAGATTTCACACTATGGTAGTCTCCCTCCATCTCTCTCTCCATGTTGTGTGAGACATTTAAAAGGAAGCAGTACAGCTGGCCCGAGAAGTCTGTTGGTGGTTATCCATGATACTAAGCGTTGTATGACTCGCCTGCGATAGGTAGTCATATAAATCTGGTGAGTGTTTTATGTTTATGGCGGAGGATTTTGGGAACACTATTGCACTGATTGTTGGAAATGGAGCACTTTTTTTGAGCATGGACACTTAAGTTTGAAGGCATTGTGCATTATACCGTGAAAAATTTAAAGCATGTGGACACTTTATATGCACAGAGAGACTTTTTTTGAAGCACAAAGGACACTTTATTGAATCCTGTTTAATTTTTATTTGAGTATACCGTGCCTTGAAAAAGTATTCATACCCGTTGAAATTTTCTACATTTTGTCATGTTACAACCAAAAAACGTAAATGTATTTTATTGGGATTTTATGTGATAGACCAACACAATGTGGCACATAATTGTGAAGTGGAAGGAAAATGATAAATGGTTTTCAAATTTTTTTTTTTTTTTATAAATATCTGAAAAGTGTGGCGTGCATATATATTCAGCCCCTGAGTCAATACTTTGTAGAACCACCTTTCCCTGCAATTACAGCTGCAAGTCGTTTTGAGTATGTCTCTACCAGCTTTGCACATCTAGAGAGTGACATTTTTGCCCATTCTTGGCTAAAATGGAGAGCATCTGTGAACAGCAATTTTCAAGTCTTACCACATATTCTCAATTGGATTTAGGTCTGGACTTTGACTGGGCCATTCTAACACATGAATATGCTTTGATCTAAACCATTCCATTGTAGCTTTGGCTGTATGTTTCGGGTCGTTGTCGTGCTAAAACCTCCACCCCACTCTCAAGTCTTTTGTAGACTCTAACAGATTTTCTTCTAAGATTGCCCTGTATTAGGCTACATCCATCTTCCCATCAACTCTGACCAGCTTCCCTGTCCTTGCTGAAGAAAAGCATCCCCACAACATGATGCTGCCACCACCATGTTTCACGGTGTTCAGGGTGATGTGCAGTGTTAGTTATTCACCACACATAGCCTTTTGTGTTTAGGCCAAAAAGTAGTGGTGCACCGAAAATGAAAATTCTGGTGCCAAAACCATACCGAAAATTCAGAATGCACGTTGCCAAAAATCTAAACCTAAATGTGTGCATATGTGGGGAGGCTCAAATGTTTTTGTATTTTTTTAAATAATTTTTTAACTTATGATTTTATTGCTATCACATAGGGGACCAATAGTCCTGTATGTGATAGTATATGAGTGACAGGTTGACTTTGTAGGGGGGAGGGGGTGGAGGGGGCAATGTGTGCAAGGACGGGGCAGGAGAAAAGCAGTGTATACAGTTAGGGAGCAATGTATACACTCAGTCTCTCTCACTGGCTGCTACTATATGTCACTGCCGGTTTTTAAATGTAACTACCAGCTTTTTTCCCTTCACTATAACTCCCAAGAATGAGCTGTCATTCTCCTAATCCCAACACCCCCCGTGTTTCCTTTAGCGGTGGGGAGAACGATAGCTCTTTGGAGCTATAGCGAAGGGAAAAAAAAAGCCCGGTAAGTACATTTAAAAACTGGCAGGGACACTTAGCGGTAGCTCACTGTATACACTGCTCCTCTCCTGCCTTTAAAAAGCTGCCCCCCCCCCCCCCCCCCCCCCCCCCCCCCTCACATCTGCAGTACACACAGCCCTCTGTATCGGCTACATCTTTTCTATCAGTAAAATGCCGATATGTTCGGCTGATCTGTTTCGGCCGCCGAACTTTCGGTGCATCCCTACCAAAAAGTTCAGTCTTGGTCTCATGTGACAAGAGCACCTTCTTCCACATGTTTGCTGGGTCCCCCACATGGCTTCTAGCAAACTGCAAATGGGACGACTTATGTCTTTCTTTCAACAATGGCTTTCTTCTTGCCACTCTTCCATAAAAGCCATATTTGTGGAATGCACAAGTAATAGTTGTCCTGTGGACAGATTCTCCCACCTGAGCTGTGGGTCTCTGCAGCTCCTCCAGAGGTACCATGGGCCTCTTGACTACTTCCCTGATTAATGCGCACCTTGCCCGGCCTGTCAGTTTAGGTGGACGGCGATGTCTTGGTAAGTTTGCAGTTATGCCATACTCTTCATTTTCAGGTGATGTATTGAACAGTGCTCCTGGAGATGTTCACAGCTTGGGATATTTTTTTATAGCCCTGCTTTAAAACTTCTCCACAACTTTATCCCTGACCTGTCTGGTGTGTTCCTTGGTTTTCATGATGCTGTTTCTTCACTAATGTTCTCTAACAAACCTCTGAGGGCTTCACAGAACAGCTGTATTTATACTGAGATTATTTGCTAATTAGGTGACTTCTGAAGGCAATTGGTTCCACTAAATTTTAGTTAGGGTATCAGAGTAAATGGGGCTGAATATAAATGCATGCCACTTTTCAGATATTTATTTGTAAAAAATTTTGAAAACCATTTATCATTTTCCTTCCACTACACAATTTTATGTGCCACTTTGTGTTGGTCTATCACATAAAATACCAATAAAATACATTTACGTTTTTGGTTGTAACATGCCAATATGTGGAAAATTTCAACGGGTATGAATACTTTTTCAAGGCACTGTATGAGTATTGCAGATAATATGCCTGTTTATTGCACATGTTTAAGCAAAAACCAATAGCGCTGTATAAATGATAGAACATACAATACATACATTGAAGACTACCAATGTGTGAGTCATCTGACTCCATACTTTATTAGTTGCATTAGTTGAATTAGTTGCATTCAGCAGCAGCACCCTAAGACACGTTTGCACGTAAAGTTGGGCGTGGTAAAACCTTGTGGTTGAGTCGTGGTTTTTACCTCACCCAATACCCACCCTCCCTTTTAGCTACTGAGGCAGCATAAAAGGTGTACACATGCCGCAGCAGGAAAGAAACCCCCTGATCCTTTTGGTGGGTGCTTCCACCTGCCAAGCACAACCCATTCAAAATGGTGCCACTCTGCAAGAGCCCCGCAACTGCATGCTTCTGGGGGGTCCAAGGGGTTTTTACAGATGGTGAGAAAGCAACACATCGCTGCCTGCTTTAACCCCTTGTTTGCTATAATGCACAAGGTTGCAGGGCACTTGCAGAGCAGCCTTATTCACTTGAATGGGTCATACTTGGCAGGTGCTTCACCCACCAACCATGACAGTGCGTATAACTCCTGCCGTGGCTGCGACGTGTACACCCCTGGCCACTGCAGCTAAAAGGTGTGGGGTAGGAGCGGGGCTGATGCATCTTAATTATGGGGTTTTTACCACCCCACAAACTGAAAATGTAAATGAACCCTTACTCTTCCCCCTATAAAGCTGCTTTCACACTGATATGCTGCGATTTACCTGCAGCGCAGTGCATCTGCAACTTTCCTGGGTTAGCTGAGCTTTGCTCTAGACTTATTATATCCTGCAAGTGTGGTGTACTTTCTGAAAGCTTTCATAAAGTGTGCCTAACCTGCAGGATATAATTGAAGTTTATGACTAAGCGCACCAAACTTGCAGGTATACTGCACTGCATCAGCGTTAAAGCCGCCCTCTACTCTTATGCCCAGTGACCTGAATATCTCTTCTTTCCCACTGCTGTCACCACTCTGGAGCCCGCTAGCCGGGATAGGAGGTGGAGTGCAGTTGATATCACTCCACATGGGTCAGGAACCAGCACTACAGAGGAGGCATTGGCTTCTTCAGCTCTTGCTCCCTACAAGTAGTTACTCTGCATTACACTCTCTTTGATCCTCTGGGATGGTTTGTCAGCAAACCGGTAGATCGCGAGCTACTTGTTGCTGACCCCCGACTTAGGCCCCTTTCACATGGGACAGATTTCTTTCCAGTCAGCAGATGATCATTTCACAGATATTTTACTAATCAGAGAAGACTAGACAGAGAGCGGACATGGACAGAGCCTGCCCTACTCTATGGGCAGCCGGGAGCAAATGGACTCCACTGTCCATTTTGTACCCGACTACTATCCAATCTGCCTAAAACAGAAGAGAATAGATTGCCTTCCATTTTTTTTTTTTTTTTTTAGCAGACAGGATCATAGGAGGTAGGCATGTGTAAACGGGCACATGTCTGTTTACACCCTGCCTGTCCATAGGAATGTATGGACCCTTTCAATCAGGTCTGCCTGAAAAATTAATCGGCCGTGTGAAAGGGGCCTTCTAAGGCAGGTGGGGTTGCATTATTTGTTTTTACTCCTCTTTTTTTTTTTTTTTTTTTTTTGTCTAGTTGTAATAGTCCCAAAGTGGAACTCCAGCCAGTACTTTTGTTTGGGGTGGGGATTGGGAGACTTTCAGTTTTGTTTTTAAAGCTGTTTGCATTCTCAATAGTGAGATTCCTGATCCGTTATTTATATAGCTTATTAATTTTTGTTCATCTTTTTTAGGCAATTCTGTCTTGAACTCAATGGACTTGCTGTTAAACTTCAGGTAATATGTTACCTTCTTCTAGCAACTGCCAAAAATGTGTGAGTGTTGCGAGGAACTGGCTGGCAGGATTTTAGATGGTGTATACCGAGGTTTCTCATCTACACATGGTGAGGGACGCCAGAAGTTGTCTGCTGTGGAACTTTGTTGTTTACTCAAAATCTTAATAAGTTCTGTTCTGGGCTCTGGAGCCTGGAGGCTTTGTACAGCATTATTCTTAGGTCCACATCAGACCTCAATATTGCCCATGGGCCTGTTACATTTGAGTTGAATGATGCTAGAGGCTGACTCTCTCTCTGCAGTGATAGCCTGTCGCTGGGTGGGAAGGTACATTTGCTGCTTGTTTTAGAGAACCCATTAGGGGGCACCTTGTTAGTCAGGACCTGACTTGAGGTTAGTTAGTGACTTGGACGAACAGGGGTTTTACTTTGTTTTATGCTATGGACATGTTGTACAAAGCTGTCCTACATTGATGCTTTGCTGCCTTCATGAATAAACGTGTAGGAAAAACCAGTTTGGACTGTTCCTGGGTGTTCCTGTCTCTTGCATGATTACTGCTGTCAATACCAGTTGAACCTGTTCCCTTACAGAATATTTCCAACCCCAATTCCAAAACAGTTGGGATACTTTGTAAAATCTCCTTAAAAATGGTATGCAGTGATTTGCAAATGTCCTAAACCCATATTTTATTCACAATACAAAATAGAAAACATATCAAAGTTTAAACTGAGAAAATGTACAATTTGAAGAAAAAAAAAAATAATTTTGAAACTGATAGCAGCAACAAGTCTTCTCAAAAAAGTTGAGATACAACAAAAAGTTGGCAAAGTGCAACCCCAAGTCCTAAAAAACGTTGGGACGGGGCCGTCTTCACCATGTTTATGTGTAGCATTTTCTCTTCTTTTACCAAAACAATCTGTAAACATCTGGGAACCGAGGAGACCAGTTGCTGGAGTTTTGGGAGAGAAATGTTGTCCCATTCTTACCTGAACATGCTGCTCCAAAACCTAAATACAGATGAAACTCGAAAAATTAGAATATCGTGCAAAAGTTCATTTATTTCAGTAATGCAACTTAAAAGGTGAAACTAATATATGAGATAGACTCATTACATGCAAAGCAAGATAGTTCAAGCCGTGATTTGTCATAATTGTGATGATTATGGCCTACAGCTCATGAAGACCGAAAAATCCACAATCTCAGAAAATTAGAATATTACATGCAATCAATAAAACAAGGATTGTACATAAAACAATATTGGACCTCTGCAAAGTATAAGCATGCATGTGTACTTGGTTTGGGCCCCTTCTGCAGCAATTACTGCCTCAATGCGGTGTGGCATGGAAGCTATCAGCCTGTGGCACTGTTGAGATGTTATGGAAGACCAGGATGCTTCAATAGCGGCCTTCAGCTCTTCTGCATTGTTCAATCTCTTGTCTCTCATCTTTCTCTTGGCATTGCCTCATATATTCTCTATGGGGTTCAGGTCAGGCGAGTTTGCTGGCCAATCAAGCACAGTAATCCCATGGTCCTTGAACCAGGTTTTGGTGCTTTTGGCGGTGTGGGCAGGTGCCAAGTCCTGCTGGAAAATGAAGTCAGCATCCCCATAAAGCTCCTCTGCGGAAGGAAGCATGTAGTGCTCCAAAATCTCCTGGTAGACGGCTACGTTGACCCTGGACTTAATGAAGCACAGTGGACCAACACCAGCAGATGACATGGCTCCCCAAATCAACACAGGCTGTGGAAACTTCGCACTGGACTTCAAGCATCTTGCAGTGTGTGCCTCTCCATTCTTCCTCCATGCTCTGGGTCCTTGGTTTCCAAATGAGATGCAAAAGTTGCTCTCATCAGAAAAGAGGACTTTGGACCACTGAGCAACAGACCAGGTCTGTTTTTCTTTAGCCCAGGTAAGATGCTTCTGACATTGTTTGTTGTTCAGGAGCAGCTTGACAAGAGGAATACGACATTTGAAGCCTATGTTCAGAATCCGTTTGAGTGTGGTGGCCCTTGATGCACGGACTTCAGCCTCAGTCCACTCCTTGTGAAAGTCCCCAACACTTTTGAATGGCCTTTTCCTGACAATCCTCTCCAGACTGCGGTCATCCCTGCTGCTTGTGCACCTTTTTCTTCCACACTTTTCTCTTCCACATAACTTTCTATTAATGTGCTTTGATACAGCACTTTGGGAACATCCAACTTCTTTTGCAATTACATTTTGAGACTTTCCCTCCTTATGGAGGGTGTCAATGATGGTTTTCTGCACAACTGTCAGGTCAGCAGTCTTTCCCATGATTGTGATTCCTACTGAACCAGACTGAGAGACCATTTAAAGGCTCAGGAACCCTTTGCAGGTGTTATGGCTAAATTAGCTGATTAGAGTGGGACACTTTGAGCCTAGAATATTGCACCTTTTCACAATATTCGAATTTTCTGAGATTGTGGATTTGGGGTTTTCATGAGCTGTAAGCCATAATCATCACAATTATGACAAATCACAGCTTGAACTATCTTGCTTTGCAGGGAAAGAGTCTATCTCATATGTTAGTTTCACCTTTTAAGTTGCATTACTGAAATAAATGAACTTTTGCACGATATTCAAATTTTTCGAGTTTCGCCTGTAGGTCTTTCAGCATTGTTGTGCCTTTTCTAGATGTGCAAGCTGCCCTCTCCATTGCCCCCATACCACCAAAGATGCATGAGGTGCCCATGGATGGCAAAAAGAATACCATCAATTCATATGACCACAGAACAATTTTCCACTTTGCAGCAGACCATTTTAAATGAGCTTTGTCCCAGAGACAGCTGCATTCCTGGATCATGTTACGATATGGCTTCTTCTTTGCATGATACAACTTTAACTAGCTTTTTTGGATGGCAAAGCGAACTGTGTTCACAGACAGGGTTTGTTAGAAGTATTCCTGAGCCCATGCAGTGATGTCCATCACAGGTCTGTGAGAATGCCCTGGAGGAAGGGTGAAACGTGTCGACGTAGGTTTCGGTGAAGGCTCTGTGACGTCACGTCCAGTGAGTGGAGCACATTCTACTCGCGGCACTGTGGAGCCATCTTTGTTGGTCTTTCACCTGCTGATGTGGGAGCGCACACTTGCTGGTCTTAGTATTCTTTTGATGTGGGAACCGCACAGTTGCCGGTCTAATACCCTTCGATGTGGGAGCCATAAATTGTTGCTGATCCAAATACCTACTGATGTGGAAATGTTTTTTTTTTTATATCATTTAAGGCTTCTTTTTATCTTGTGAAATGTGAGTGCAATAGCGCTTTGGTTTTAATTTAATTAAAGAGCATTACAGTACTACACTATTAGTGTCCCCATTGTCTTTTTGCATCTCATCTGTCCTCCTGGTGGTCATTGGAGATTATCAAGAAAGCATTTTCTTCTCTGATTTGGTCCATTGTGGGGAACACACTTCACCATAAAAGCTTATTTGACTCTTAAGCCATACAAGCTAAGAGTCCATCATATCTGGTGAGTGTGGATTGTACCGGAAGGTGATCACGGATGGTGTGGGGATATCATTTAAGGAACACATTTGACTTGTTTTTTTTGGCATCGTTTCTCTGATTGGAACACTGTATCATCGTTTATTTGGGACAGTGGACTTTTTTTATTATTTATTTTTTTTTTTATTATTTTTTCATATTTCATCACTGTTGGTATAATCACTGTTTGTAAAATTTTTGCGCTGTAATATTATTTTTGTTTGGTGTTTTTTTTTTTTTTTTTTTTTTTTTACTTATGAACAGCAGCATTCATTATTTTTGGATTATATAATAATATTTTAGGCGCGAGTTAATTTCACACATGTCATCATAGAATCATGCCTGTTTTTAATGCAGTGCTGTCTGAAGTCCTGAAGATCACTGGTATCCAGTATTTCGGCCTTGTCCCTTGCCCACAGAGATTTCTTCAGATTCCCTGAATCTTTTGATATGTTGTACTGTGGATGATGATATATTTAAAGTCTTTGCAATTTTACATTGAGGAATATTATTCTGAAATTGTTCAACAATTTTTAGATGCAGCTTTTTACAGATTGGTGAATCATCTTCTGAGACAGTCCGACTCTTTTTAAGGTTCTCTTTTTATACCCAGTCATGTTACTGATCTGTTGCCAATTAACTTAAATCATTGCAAAATGTTCTTCCAGCTTATCCTTGTTAGTACCACTTACTTTACCAGCTTTTATTTTGCCCCAACTATTTTTGAGTTGTGTTGCTCCAAAATTATCTCTTTTGATTTTTTTTTTAAATGGTACATTTTCTTAGTCTAAATATTTAATATGTTTTCTGTTGTGAATAAATGTGGATTTGAGATTTGCAAATCATTGCATTCTGTTTTTATATAGATTTTACAGTGTCCCAACCTTTCTGAAATTTGGGTTGTATATTGCAGAAATTTTGCACTGCAAAGAGAACAGTTTAAAAGGGAAGACCACTCCAATACCTGTTAGGAAATTAAGAATGCTTTCCCATGTTATTGCTGGCCTGATGTAGTACTTTCACTATCTGATATTTAGAAGACATGAGAGCAAGGTGCAAGCGAAAAACAATTAGTGTAGATGTTGTGGAAAGACTGATGCAGAATACTACAATGTGACTAAAGCGTATCGCAGAGAATTCAGCACATTCCAGCATGAATAGTTCTTCCACTGTGCTTGCCTCAAAAGAAGTGTTGAATTAGTCTGAAAAGCTGAAGAGGGCTTTTTTGCTCGGTCATTGTGTGGGGACAGATAGATCTGGTTGTCACTATGGATACCTGTCTCCTTTTTTGATTGCTTAAAGTGTATGTAAACCCTAACAAGGAGCTTCTGTGTTTTTTTTTTTTTTTTTTTTTTTTTTTTTTTTTTTTTTTTTTTTTCTTTTTGGTCTTCTAGACCATTTATTTTTATTATTTAATATACAGTATTTATATAGCGCCAAAGGGGATGCTCAGCGCTGTACAGTAGCAAGGGGGACAGAACATTAGCAGTACACTACAGTAGCAAGGGGGACAATAACAATACACTACACGAGGGGTTTGAGGGCACTGCTCTTTCGAGCTTACAATCTAGGAGGGAGGGGAAGGTGGTACAGGAGGAGATGGCTGTGGGGGATGGAGTGGTGGGAGGAGTGGAGGTTAGTTGTTAGGTGAGGTTGGGGTAGGCTTCCCTGAAGAGGAGGGTTTTCAGGGTGCGCCTGAAGGTGAGGAGGGTAGGTGACAGTCTGATGGATTGGGGTAGGGAGTTCCAGAGGATGGGGGAAGTCCTGGAGAAGTCCTGCAATCAGGCGTGGGAGGAGGAGACCAGGGAGCTAGAGAGTAGGAGGTCCTGTGAGGAGCAGAGGGCACGGGTAGGGTAGTATTTGGGTATCAGGTCAGTTATGTAGTTCGGGGCGGCATTGTGAATGGCTTTGTAGGTCAGAGTTAGCAGTTTGAATTTGCTGTGTTGGGCAAGCGGGAGCCAATGAAGGGATTGGCAGAGGGGGGAGGCAGATGTGGAGCTGTTGGTGAGGTGGATGAGTCTAGCCGCTGAGTTTAGGATCGACTGGAGTGGGGATAGCATTTAAAAGTGTTTTGTTTTAATCTGTTTAATAACTTTAAATTTAGTGAGCCTATCACTGCCGGTGTACTACAAATAGGGAGTATTGGTATATGAAGGGGAAAGAGGATGAAGAGTTCCTTCTAACCTATCAAAAAAAAAAAGGGGGACATATATCTGTAAAAAAATAAACTGGGCTGGATTGATGACACATGCTTTGGAATTCAAAGCTGGCTTGTCACATCAAAGAGGAAGGTAGAAGTGTACTATATGTCTGGCACATTCAGGCATTCACCTGTTTTTTGTAGAATGTTTAAAGGTCTAAAGTCAAATGGGCATGTATTTTTTATTTTGCCTTGATATTTGCTTTAAGGGAAATCTATAGTCTTCAAAGTGTGATTATATGGGGGTTCAGTGTATAGTTCGAGTAACAATAGAGAGAACAGTATGAATGGCTATATTACTGGGATGTTGAAGAGCAGATATAAAGTAACATTACTGCTTCTCAGTAATGCTGTACAATCCTAAGTTATATTAAAACTGCCTGTCCACACATAAAGTGCATAAAAATGCTCAAAAAATGGATGTGCATTGCTTTCCATTGACGGGCATTTATGTGACTGTTGACACACGTTTTATGCAAATTAAAATGCTATGCATTTTGCAGGTTATTTTCTCTGACATCACATCGTTTTCCTGCTTGTGGGTTGAGAGTGAGTCTATCTTGTACCCTGAGACAGAAATCGTGGACCCACTTGCCGGAAATTAGGGAGGTCCACGGGCCTGCGAACTGACAAAGGTGACACCCCCCTCCTCCCACAAGCCTGGTAGGAGCAAACCTTAACGCTGAAGAGGACTTATCAGCAGGCTTCTGGGACCAGGGATGCTTGGTACCTCCCGCAGGAGTCTTGAAGCGCTTTGGCTCCCTTGTCTGCCAAACCCTGGGAGCAAAAGGAAGGGTCTTCCTCAACCGGGATTACTGTGGCCTTATTGAGCCTAGACATTGGGGAATCCACCACAGGAAATGAGGTCCACTTCTTTAGAAAGACCGCGCACTGTTTGCAAACCACAAAGGTACACTTCAGACGTTCCCACTCCTTGTAAACAAATCTGTCAAACTATGCGGGGTAAGGAAAAGTCTTAAGCAAACCTAGCCAGCTTGTGTGTCCCAAAAGGGACAGGCACTATGTTGTCTCCTCAATTTTTAGCATCTCATGCACAGAGGTAATTAGTGCAGTTACTAGTGCCTTCTCCTGTGCGACAACAGAGACAGAGGATTCGTCCTCCTCATCTGAGGACTCTGAGGGATCTTCAAAAGGTGCAAAGCTTAACTTTGGCTCAGAAATGTTTGAAGATGCAAGGTACACTGGAGGGCGTTTCTTGCTCACCTTACAACTGTAGGCCGCCTCCACCCGGGACACACACAACTCCAGAAGTGCTGACAAAGGACACCGAGAGACTGGGCGCTGTCTGTAGGGGATTCGGAGGCGAGGCGTGGTCCTGAGACTTCCTAAGGGCAAAGGTAAAACCCCAGTAGTACTGCCAGAAAGTGGGACCCCAATAAGGGAGGGCAAAGCAGACACCCCTAGGCTGACCCAGCAGAGAGGCGGGTACCCCAGTTTAGACTGACCACATAGAGAAGTTGGTTCCCTGGGACCACCCCCTCATCAGCCACATGTCTGAGTGAAAACAAGATGGGCACCAATGACCTCCGCAGCTTGCTCCCATACAATATGGGAAAATGGACTCCTACAAAATGGCTGCCCATCCTGCCTCTTTTACATGGGTGCCAGTCACAGGCAAAATGCCCGCCTCGGCTTGGGCAAAATGGCTGCTGGCCAAATCCCATGTATATGGAGACACATGCATACCCTGGACCCCAGGGAGAGATCCACCACAAAGTACACCCGAGGGTAAGTAGGAGAAACCACTCTTGTCACCTAGGCATGTCAAGAGGGAAAGAACCAGGTCCCTTAGCCATCAAACCAGGTACTGAAAACAGGTGGTGGAGGGAAGGGGTGGCTCTGTACATGAGGCCCAATTGGACCGACCAATGCAGGGAGTACCCATGCTCCACACTGCATTCGGGCAGGGAAGGGAGGGGTCATCTACTTACCAATCCTATTGAGGGTGCGGGTAATGCTCACATGACAGATCCTCATCTCCACTAAAGTGGGAGCTGTCGGCCATGTCGCATGGACCCAGCGCTTGGCTAAAGATCTGCGTGCGCTTGGCCAAACTGGGTTAACCACTGGATCTAGATTATGCAGCCAGTCGCTCAGCCCGACAGTTGACTGAAGATCTCCACAGGGAAAAAAGCTATGGAACCACAGGTCCCAGCAGGGATCTAGGTCCTTACTCCTGAAACACTAGGCAGAAATAACTGGCTTGCCTGTAGCAAACAGGGGGTTTTGTTCCCAGAGAGGGCTGCCCATAGGAGGTCAGGAGGATAGGACAGACTAACATTTTTGTTTTTGGGAGGCATTGGCAAACAGCATGTCAAGTATAGCAGCCCTAATCATTGTGATTGCTCTAGTTATATTGAGGAGGTGGTGGATAAGGTGCTATTGAGTGTATCCATTACCCAAACATGAGAGTAAAGGCAGTTTTCGGACTTTATACCAGGATTTATGATGTCCTTGTACTTCCATTGTGATAAAATGCTGGTCACTGCAGTATGTGTGAACAGGGCCTAAAACCAGAATGTTATTTGGCTGCATGGGTTTTCTTTTTTCAGGATTTTTTCCTTTTATTGTTTTCTGGTAATTATACCAGTAACACACTTCCTGTCTTGGGGGTGATCATGCTGACCCCACTGCATCTGAACAACAAAAACTGAGCAGGACTAAAAAAAAAAAAACCTCTCCCTTCCTCTTCTCCATAACAGAGGGAGGCGGGGTCTATAGCCATCAGATTATTGTAACTGATAAGAATGCAGTGCAAGCAGAGCACAGGAAGTAATTAGCTGACAAGATCAACTGATATATTTTTGAACATATCAGATAGATGTAACAAAACTTTCAATGGTAAATTTTAAAGTGGTTGTAAAGGCTGAAGGTTTTTTACCTCCATGAAGGTAAAAAAAAACCTTCTATATACAGCTTCCCTCTCTGCTCTACCTAATACTTATTTGAGGCCGATCTCGATCCAGTGATGTGCTTGAGAGCAGAGTATCTCCAGGGTAAGGAGGAGGAACGGGGGAGGAATCGGGAGCATCAGCGGGGGATTCAAGAAGAGGAGGATCGAGGCTGCTCTGCGCAAAACCATTGTACAGAGCAGGTAAGTATAACATATTTGTTATTGTAACAAAAAAAAATTGGAACCTTTTAGTATCACTTTAATAGATCTAAAGGGAGAAAAATTAGAGAAGTTCATTGTTGTGGTTTATATACTCCTTTACACATCAGCTTATGTCTTTGAAGTAAGGTAAATGTTTATTTTTATTTAATAGGCTGAATGTCATCCTGACTCTTGCACCCAAATGACGGCAACAGAACAATGGATATTTCTTTGCGCAGCTCATAAAACACCAAAAGAGGTGAGTCTGGCTTGTTACTATACTGTTTTATCAAGCAGAGTGCTTTTTAAAAGGACTGAAAAAACTGAAGTAAGGCTCCATTGACCTGGAGCAAGCATGATCCAGTAAAGTCTAAATATGTATGAACGTCTATTCTGCATGTGTGTTGCTAGGTACTGACACTAGGTAGAAAGTCAGAAAGACGGCCCTGATCCTGCTCCAAGTCAGTAATGTAAGGCCATATATCTATTCTTACAGGTTTTCTGAAACTGTTTCTGCATGATATGGGGATAGATGGTACCCAGTTTGCACACTGCATATGTTGTATATCACCTTGTTGTCACTCTCTTGGCTGACCAGAACACTTTGCTTACTCATCACATCTCTGTACAGGCTCCTTTTTGCAATGCTTGGAGAATATGAGTGCTACTTCCACTTCCTGAAGTAGCCTGACACCTGACTTAGTCTGTTTATGCTTTGTTTTAGTGGATGCTTTAGACTTTCAGCCAAGTAAAAAAAAAAAAAAAAAAACATGTAGCTCATATCGAAGTTTGGGATATCCATAAAAGTCTGGTATTAAAAGCAAACCTGTTGCACTGTGGGTCTACTGCTAATAAAAACTGGGCAATTTCTTCAAATGGATATGTTCTGTATTTTTGATTGCTTTGGGACTGCTCATAAAAATGAAAGGTGCAACCTGGATGGTAGCTATTGGTAACACATCAAATGCTGTGCCCTTTTTATCTTCTACAGTAATAATACATATGATAGCTAATAAAAGGACCAAGGAAATGCAGAGTCCACCATTTATTCTTGTAATTTATTTTAGAGCAGATTTTTCATAAAGGCTTTTTATTATTGCAACCAATATGATTTTATTCTTTTCAGTGTTTAAGCAGTTTTTGTTGTTTTTTGTTTTAGTGTCCTGCCATAGATTACACAAGGCATACACTTGATGGTGCTGCATGCCTCTTGAATAGCAATAAATATTTCCCAAGCAGGTAAGTTTTTAAGATGAATGAAACTAGTTAATCCATGCTGCACTCAGATGTTACTTTTAATACACAGAATTAGCTGACACTGTTTTCAATCTGAGTAGGTAAACAAATGACCATTTAGTTTCATTGACATTTATGTAGTAATTTTTTATATGTAATCTGTAAATGAATTGCTTTGACACCTGAAAGAATGGGAGTCAGTTGACACTAACTTACATCGGTACAAGTAATTGTTTAAAAAAAATTATTTTAACTTTTTTTACAGTTCTGTAAAGTACTTTTTTTTTACAGCTCTGTAAGTTACTTTTAAGTGGAGCTCTCTGGTAATATTCTAAAAAAAGTGAAAAAGAGGTAATGGAGACAGATTTTCAGTGGATCAGTCAAGTTAAAACTAGGCACACTGGCTCCTGTTTGACAGCACTCCACAAAATGGGGACACCCCTTAGGGAAGGGAGGACAGCTCATAGTTTAGAATCTGTATATAAGGCTAATGAAAAGGCCAAACAACAAGAGTCAACAAGGTATAATGATAAAATGAAATAAAATTAGTTTGTAGTCAGAGAACACAGCAGCCAACGCGGATTAGTCTAAAACAAACTCTCTTTTGCCAGGGCTCAGGTTGCTGTGCAGCATGAGAACACGCAAAGATCCAAGGGTATTTGCAAACCATTATGAATCATCCCAGGTCATTTTCATGCCAAGAGTCCCACTGCTTAGAGTACCTAAGCCCCATCGAAGATGGAGTTTTTTTACCCCCAAAACACTTGTTTTTATTTTTTCTTACTATGATGTACTGTATTTTTCGCTCCATAAGACACACCTGACCATAAGACGCACCTAGGTTTTAGAGGAGAAAAACAAGAAAAAAAATATTCTGAACCAATGGACTGCAGACACAGTACAGGGGATGAGCAGAGACTGCGGACATAGTACAGGGGATGACCAGAGACTGCGGACACTTTTTTTTCAAAATGTTAGCTTTTTTTTTTATTAATTTTAAAAATTTAAAAAAATTGTGGTTATCAAATACCACCAAAAGTAAGCTCTATTTGTGTAAAAAAAAAGGATAAACATTTAATTTGCTTGAAGTTGTTATGGATAATACTTGTGTGTATGTAAAATCTAGAAAATGTTTCTTCCATAAAGTAAATGAATGTTGTTTCCACAGGGTTAGCATAAAGGAATCATCTGTTGCCAAACTAGGATCAGTGTGCCGTAGGATTTATAGAATATTTTCACATGCTTACTTTCATCATCGGCAAATTTTTGATGAATATGAGGTATGTAGTTCATTATTTTTTTTACAAGGAAACAATGATGCGTAAAATATTTGTCCTCAATTCATATAATTAACTAGCTGTATATGAATGGAGCCTGAGAAAAAAAAAAATGTCAACCCAGTATTATTTTGCACACATCTCAACTAAATACAGATCACAATCTTGATTACCTTTTCAATTATTTTTATAATTGAAAGTAGAATTTCTAGCCTTTCATACTCGATTGTGTTTGTATGCTTTTGTGTTGGTGTGCTTCCAAAACAGATTAGCAAATAAATGTCTGTCATTTCCCTTTCTTTTTCTGTACCTTGAGAGTGACCATTAATGTCTCACACAATTTAGTCCTACTTTTTTGAATTAACCTCATCTAAGACCTATTGACATTCTTTTGGATTTGCATGGTTTTTTATCTCAGTTTGCTGACTGTAGCCATGTTGGATCTTTTCAGGTTAACGTTCTCTTAAAGTCCTATTTTATTCAAACAAAAAGAGGTTTATACTTACCTGCTCTGTGTAATTGTATTGCACAAAGTGGTCCCTTACCTTTTTCTTTGGTGGTCCCTCACTGGCACTCTCTGCTCCTCCCCCTTCTTTGGTTTTCTCTTCCATTCTAGTAGTAATATCTAAAATTAATAATTTTTTTTGTTGGTTGAACTAGATGGACTAGTATCTTTTTCAACCTCACTATGTAATACTGTTATCTTTTCTCAGCTCCTTTTCATTGTACTGGAACAGACAAACAGATGTGATCAAATAATATTTCAAAATAGTTAGAAATGGACGAATGTTTTTTTCAATCTTTGATATACAGGAGACAGACAAAATAATAGAAATGCCTAATATATTCATTTTAAAGACCTTCTTTGCCTTCATAATAGTTTGAATTTACTGGACACCTGCCTTACAATTCCTAAACAAACAGATTATAGCATCCTGTTCTTTAAAACAGGAAAAACGATTTGTGTTTTGAACTGATGCAGTAACCATTGAAATGCATGAAAATGTGTGTTGAAATGCATATCTACGTACACCATGCACATTAATGTGTGTTGACATGCAATATACAGTGTAATGACATCCAATTTGATGCATTTCTTTTGATTTCAATGTAAAATGCATCAGAAAAAAAGCACAAAGGTATGTTTTGATCTTGAGGCCCATTCATACTAGGGCGGTTTGATCCGGTGTACTAAACGCATGTGTGTTGTGGTAAGGAAACCCATTAATTAGAGTAGACTGCTCAGCAGACCACACCACACACATATTATATATTGTTGAGACTGGTCACCTTGACAGATACATTTTCCATTTTCTTCCCATGAACTACAAATCAAGTACTGACAATATGGATTCTGTGGAACTCTATTAGGTATGAATGTTGCTTTTGCAGTTGTGTTTGTGGTTCAGTTAACTGCTTCTCGATTGCGCTATAGCAGAACTACTGCTACAGGACCAGCAGGGCTGCACAAAATCACGTGTAGATATACATGATTTTGCATTTCCGGGTAGGGGGCACGCCATTGGCGGCTACAGCTGTCGATCACTGGGTCCCGGCCGGAGATTCTCCACTGGCACCTGGCGATTGCCGAGGAACACTGACAGGGCAGAGGTCTGTATGTAAACAATACAGATCTCTCCCCTGTCAGCACCAGTATGCTGCTTTGTATTGCTCTGCATAGCAGAGCAATACAAAGAAGCATGCTTGCACAGTAAAGCACACACAGCACAGGTAGTAAAACGGCACATAGTTAAACCTTTGATTGGCCCAGATGTTAACCCCTTTCTGCTCAGTGTCATTAGTACAGTGTCAGTGCTTTTTATTAGCACTGATCACTGTATTCGTGTCACTGGGGATGTCAGTGGCAGTTAGTCAATCCCCCCCTCCCCCCCAGTGTCAGAATGCCCGCCGCAGTCCCGCTATACGTCGCTGACTAGTATTGAAAAAAAAAATCCAGTATATATATCGCCATTTGTAGACGCTACAACGTTCACGTAAACCAATTAATTTACACATATTGGGATTTTTTTTTAGCAAAGACATGTAGCACAATACATTTTGGCCTACATTTATGATGCAATTTTGATTTTTTTTTTTTTTTTTTTTTTTAATTTTACTTGAGGTTTTATAGCAAAAAAAAAGTAAAAATATTGTTTGTTGTTTTTTCATAATTGTTGGTCTTTTTTTGTTTATAGTACGAAAAATAAAAAACCCAGAGGCGATCAAATACCACCAAAAGAAAGAAAGAAAGATATGTGGGGAAAAAAGCACACAAATTTCATTTGGGTGCAGCGTTGCATGACCGCGCAATTGTCAGTTAAAGTAACGCAGCGCCGTATCGCAAAAAATGGCCTGGTCAGGAAGGGCGGTAAATTGTCTGGAGGGCAAGTGGTTAAAGGATCAGATCACCTTTCATAACATGTTACACCCATATGCAGGGTGTAACATGTTATTGTGGGACCAGTTGTGCTCTTAGAATATAGTGTGCTGGCGGGGGGAATCATACCATGAGATGGATGGAGGAATCTTACATTTTTTTTGATCACTCAACAGGCTAAACGTAATAAAGCGAAACGTCTATGGACAGCTTAATTTAAAGGGAAACTCTTCTTTCATGTGGTGTAACAGCTGTTTTGTAAACCTCCTATATTTTATATTAAAAAAACTTAAGCTATGTCTGAGAAACTACATTTTGTGAAAAGTAGACTTTTATGGTTGTATTATTATACACTGCTGTATCTCAAGTACTAGAATATGATGTTGAATTATGTTGTTTTTTTTCCCCTTTTATAGAATGAAACATTTTTGTGTCATCGCTTCACAAAGTTTGTGATGAAATATAACCTTATGTCCAAAGATAACCTGATTGTTCCTCTCTTGGATGAAGAAGTGCAAAGTTCATCTGCCAGGGAAAGTGAAGCATAATTATATTCATGTTCAGATAATCCAACATGAACTTATTGTTGATGAATTGATACAGCTATTAACAAATCTGTACTGTATATATCTTTTAAATCAAGAAAACTCTGTATCATGTCTTCTAGTGCAGTAGTTATCAGCCTTTTCCAACTTTCTTGACATAGTAGGGACTGCTTTTGTTTTGAGGGTTTTTTTTGTTTTTTTTTAAGCTTCAAATATGTTTTGTTAAGATATTGATCACAAGTGAAATTATGTTTTACCATGTTGGAAAGAAGCAAATATGTATTGGTTAAGTACCTTGTAGTTGCGCAAAAAAAAAAGCAGAAATATTGGAAAAGGGATATCTTGTAAAGGCTAACAGAAAATGTATTTGCAGGGCAAGCTGTTTGAGCCCATAGGCTCTAAAATTAGATACATTTGCAAATATAGCCTGAAATAATAGGAATCAAACTGTTTTATCATTGTATACTCCACACAATATCCAGTTTGTTTTTGTCAATTCAGGTTTCAGTTTGTAAATAATGCCCGTTAATTGGTCCTTGGGGCTAAACTACAAAGGCAGTTTTAAACTTGCTACTGAAAGATTTAACCACTTGTTGATGGCCACCTCATTAAGCTTGAGCTACACACAGCAGAATTTACTAGCTCAGTTGTGCTACTGAAATGGCTAGCGATTTAATAGCTAGCAATAGCACTTGATTCTAACACAGATGTAGCTAATGGCTCCCTGAGAAGTAAGCTACACAAATAGCGTGTAGTAGTGGTCAGTGTCGCATAATCGCACAAGGCTGTACTCATGTGTGATAGATTACTACAAGATGCTACTGCATGTTTGTAGCTTAGAGAGCCATCTGCTCTATCTGTTAAGCCGCGCATACTTGGATTGAAATTTGGCTGGTTCATGTATGGTCTAGCTGGTTGTACATAAGATAATCTGTTGACCAACTCGTGTACAACCAGCCTGACGGGTCTTTCCCTGAACGATCAGTACCTCTGGCTTTAGCTGGCAACAATGATCATTGTATTCTGCCGACAGAGGAGGTTCCTGAATGTTAGAGTACAAGACATCCACCTTGAAATCGGCTCTTTTTTTCATTTTAAGCTGCTGGCTGAATGAAAAAAAAAAGTATCGTGTATGGCCAGCCTTAAGCAATCATTAATTAGTAATTAATTGTAACAGATGTTAGTAACATGGTTGAGCTAAGTTTAAAATCTTCTAGCTCCAGTGTAATCAGGTGAATTTTAGCAAGTAGTGACTCTTAGCAACTTTTGACGCTTTTTAGCCTTTAGGTTCCAAATCTTGCAATGCAATTTGTTTTCGGTAGACCTTTAAAGGGATAGCTTTAACAATATTTTTTTAGCACTCAATAGTATTTACCGTTACATATTATCAAAATACTATAATATTTCATTTTAAAGAGAATGAAATGTTTTAATATTTCACAAAAAGTACTGTAGCATGCAGTGGATTGTCCTCTGTTACAGATCCTGTAATTGTGCATCATTTATAATAAATATTTTATTTAGTAGTTTTTTTTCTCAGCTCAACAGCAGAGTGTTCCTGGATATTATTTTAAATAAGATGATTATATAATATATGTAGTGCATTTTAAAGGGTTGGAATAGTATTAACGGGGAAAAATGCATATATAGAAAGAGCGCAAATGAAAATAGCAGTTGCATGCTCTATAGTAGCAAAACCTGGTCACAATCCAAGTAATCCACTTGTCCCCAATATACTTTATTTATACACACAGACTAAACAAATCTTGCCTGGATCATTCCATACTAACGCACTTCGTTCACCTAATGGGCCTTATCATAGAGTTGGAGGCAGTGGGTGAAGCATGTGTTAGTGAGTCCTTTTCACCAGAATATGTGCGTATGTATGTATGTATGTATGTATGTATATATACTGATCCAATCAGCCATAACCTTATGACCTTCCACCTAATATTGTGTTGGCCCCCCTTTTCCTTCCAAAATGGCCCTGATACATCGAGGCATGGACACCACTAGACCTCTGAAGGTATGCTATGGTATCTGGCATCAAGCCGTAAGTAGCAGACCCCTTTTAGTCGTGTAAGTTGCGAGGTGGGGACCCCATGGATCTGACTTGTTTATCCAACACATCCCACAGATGCTTGAAGGATTGAGATCTGGAGATTTTGGAGGTCATGTCAACACCTTAAACTCTGTGTTCCTCAAACTGTTCTTGAACCATTTTTGCAGTTTGGCAGGACGTATTAGCATGCTAAGAGGCTTTTGCCATTGGGGAATACTACAGGAAAAAATAGTCAACGCTAAATAACACTAGATTAAAATATAAATTACCTTTTGAGTGAAAAATCTTCAGTACATGAGATACAAAAATTTAATTCAAATCGTATATGTGCAAAAAATCACCTCCAATTACTATCCTATAATCAATGTCCAAATTAAAAAATCAATCCATATTTATAAATGAACCGATATTATAGAAAATAATCAAGCAGTGTTGAAAAATAAATGTCCAATCCATAAAGTGTATGTCCAAATTCTTATAATTTCCAAAAACGGTGCAAGGAAAAAAGGAAAGAACTTCTTCACCCTGTCACTAGCCATGTACCATCCTTATGTACTCAACAGAGGGCTAAAATACAGATGCATGTATTACAGCCAGCCTTGTATAATCCAAGCACTAACTCCAGTGTTCCAATCCCTGGTCACCACTCAGATGTCCTAGAAGGGATATTTTGATTCAAGTAAGGTGATTGGCTGGGCCAATCTAGCAGCTTTATTTTCTTTCTTTGAAACCAATTGAGAGTTTCCTTGGCTTTGTGTTTGGGATCATTGTCTTGCTGAAATGTCCACCCTCATTTCATCTTCATTGTCCTGTTAGATGGCAGCAGATTTTTATCAAGAATGTCATGGTACATTTTTCCATTCATCCTTCCTTTAATGAAATGAAGCCAGTACCGTATGCTAAAAAACAGTCCCACACCATGATGTTCCCACCTCCAAACTGTTTGGTGTTTTTAGGGTGATGTACAGTGCCATTTGACCTCCAAACATGGTGTGTATTATAGCATCTAGAGAGTTAAATTTTGGGCTCATCTGACCAGACTATGTTCTCTCAGTATTTCACAGGCGTGTATGAATGTTGTACAGGAAACTTTAAACGAGCTTCAACATGCTTTTCCTTCAGCAATGGAGTCTTGCGTGGCGACTGTGCATTGTTTTTTTTGTTTTTTTTTAAATTGTACCTGCTAATTCTAGGTCTATCTGAAGTTCTCCACAAGTGGTCCTTGGCTGTTGGGCAACTCTTCTGATTCTTTTCACTCCTCTGTCAGAAATCTTGCGAGGAGCACCTGGTTGTGGCCAGTTTATGGTGAAATGATGCTCTTTCCACTTCCAGATTATGGCCCCAACAGTGCTCACTGGAACATTCAGAAGTTTAGAAATCCTTCTGTAACCAATTCCATCAGTATGTTTTGCAACAATAAGGCTGCAAAGGTCTTGAGAGAGCTACAGTTGCAAGAAAAAGTATGTGAACCCCTTGGGATTACGTGGAGTTTTGCATGAATTGGGCATAAAATGTGCTCTGAACGTCATCTAAGTCACAACAATAGAAGAACACAGTCTGCTGAACATAATACTACACAAACATTAGATGTTGCCATGGTTTAATTGCACATAACATGTAAACATTCACAGTGCAGGGAGGAAAAAGTATGTGAGGCCCTAGCTTAATGACTTCTCCCAGAGCTAATTGGAGCCAGGAGTGAGCCAGCCTTGACTCCAATCAGTGTGATGATATTGGATGTGTTGCTGACAGCTGTCCTGCCCTTAAAAAACACACACCTGTTTTGGGTTTACTGGTTTCAAGAAGCATTGTCTGATGTGAACCATGCCTCGCAGAAAAGAGCTCTCAGAAGACCTACGATGAAGAATTGTTGACTTGCATGAAGCTGGAAAGGGTTACAAAAGTATCTCCAAAAGCCTTGAGGTTCATGTGTCCATGGTAAGACAGACTGTCTACAAATGGAGAAAGTTTAGCACTGTTGCTACTCTCCCTGGGCGTGGTCGTCCTGTAAACATGACTGCAAGAACACAGCGCAGAATGCTTCATGAGGTAAAGAAGAATCCCAGAGTGTCAGCTAAAGACCTACAGAAATCTCTGGCACATGCTAACATTTTTGTTGACACATCTACAATAAGGAAAACATTAAACAAGAATGGAGTACATGGGAGGACACCACGGAGGAAGCCGTTGCTGTCCAAAAAGAATATTGCAGCACGTTTGAAGTTTGCAAAAGAGCACCTGGATGTTCCACAGCACTACTGGCAAAATATACTGTGGACAGATGAAACCAAGATTGAGTTGTTTGGGAAGAACACACAACACTATGTGTGGAGAAAAAAAGGCACAGCACACCAACATCAAAACCTCATCCCCACTGTAAAACATGGCGGAGGGAGCATCATGGTTTGGGGCTGCTTTGTTGCCTCAGGGCCTGGACGGATTGTTGTCATTGATGGGAAAATGAATTCCAGAGTTTATCAAGACATTTTGCAGGAAAACGTACGACCATCTGTCCGCCAACTGAAGCTCCGCAGAGGATGGGTGATGCAACAGGACAATGACCCAAAGCATACAAGTAATTCAACAAAACAATGGCGGCAACAGCACAGAATATGCCTTCTGGAGTGGCCCAGTCAGAGTCCTGACCTCAACCCGATTGAAATGCTGTGGCATGACCTTAAGAGAGCGGTTCATACCAGACATCCCAAGAATATTACTACACTGAAACAGTTTTGTGAAGAGGAGTGGTCCAAAATTACTCCAGATCGTTGTGCAGGTCTGATCTGCAACTACAGGAAATGTTTGGTTGAGGTTATTGCTGCCAAAGGAGGGTCAACCAGTTATTAAGTCCAAAGGTTCACATACTTTTTCCTCCCTGCACTGTGAATGTTTACATGTTATGTGCAATTGAACCATGGCAACATCTAATGTTTGTGTAGTA